CTCCAGCTCGCCGCGATGGAGGCCGCAGCCGAGTTCGTGGTCGAGAGCCCCGACGTAGTCTACAGCCCCGAGGCCATCGAGGCGCAATATGAGTACAGGACGACGTGCGTCAGCCGCGAGGGCGGCGTCCTCAAGGTAGGCGAGGGACCGAGTGGACCGTGGGGCTGGGGGAACCAGGGAGGCGGGAGGGAGCGGCAATTGCCCAACGTCTGCGATGCCCTCCCTGCAGCGAGGGGGGAGGGGCCTGTGGTCCCCAGCTCACCGCGGCGCCTGCCCCCAGGTGCACCCCACGTCCACGCGCTTCACCTTCCGGACCTCCCGGCAAGTGCCCCGACTCGGGGTCATGCTCGTCGGCTGGGGCGGGAACAACGGCTCCACGCTGACCGCTGCCGTGCTGGCCAACCGACTGCGCCTGTCTTGGCCCACGCGCACCGGCCGCAAGGTGGGAGGTCCGGCGGGGCTCGGTGGAAGAGAGGGCCTCGCAGGAATCCACGCGGGGAGGGGCTCTACGGAGGAGAGGGTCCGCAGGGGGCGGGGCTCCTGGCTGCGGGCGGGCTCCTGGGAGGGGCTTCCATGGGGAGGCGGGGACTCCTTAGGGGTCTTACGGGGGCGGAGCCTAAGGTGTGGGGGAACTTCTGGATGGGACCTATGGAGGAGCTGCTTCCTGTCCTGGCTTGGAGCACTCTGCTGAAGCGCCTTTAACAGTAAGGCGGAGTTTAAGGGTGCTGGGCCGGGGCCCTTGCCGGCTCATAGCCCTCCCCATGTCACACCCACCCTTCACTCGGCCCCATCTTCCGCACCGCCCCCCAGGAGGCCAACTACTACGGCTCGCTGACGCAGGCGGGCACCGTTAGCTTGGGCCTGGACGCCGAGGGCCAGGAGGTGTTCGTGCCCTTCAACGCGCTGCTGCCCATGGTGGCGCCCGACGACCTGGTGTTCGACGGTGGGCGGGGCCCTGGGCCGGGGGTAGGGTGGGAGGCGGGACATGGAGGGGCCCAGGCAGCGGGCCGGGCCGAGCTTGAGGGTCCCCTCTAGGCTGGGACATATCGTCGCTGAACCTGGCGGAGGCTATGCGGCGCGCGCAGGTACTGGATTGGGGGCTGCAGGAGCAGCTGTGGCCGCACATGGAGGCCCTGCGCCCACGGCCTTCTGTCTACATCCCGGAGTTCATCGCAGCTAACCAGAGTGCGCGCGCCGACAACCTCATTCAGGGCACGCGCGCACAGCAGGTGCTGCCCCTCCCTGCACCCCTTTTATCCCCTGCCACTTGTTCTCCCCCGCCATTTTTGTCCCCCCGGCCACCTGTTCTCCCGTCTTTATCCCCATGCTCCCATCCTGAGGGTTCAGGCCCTACTTTGCACTTAGGGAACTGAATAGCCCAGGCTTTCACAGGTCGGGGGAGCCTGTACAACCTCCCTCTTCTGCCCTCTTCCCCCAACCCCTAGCTGGAGCAGATCCGTAGGGACATCCGTGACTTCCGGTCCAGCGCCGGGCTGGACAAAGTCATCGTGCTGTGGACAGCAAACACGGAGCGCTTCTGTGAAGTGGTCCCGGGCCTTAATGACACTGCTGAGAACCTGCTGCGCACCATCCAGGTGGGTGCGCCCAGGAATGGGGTTGGGTGGGGTCAGGGCCAGCCCCCAAGCTCTGCGCTGACTGCCCGCCTGTTTCCGCAGCTGGGTCTGGAGGTGTCGCCCTCCACACTCTTTGCCGTGGCCAGCATCTTGGAGGGCTGTGCCTTCCTCAATGGGTCCCCACAGAACACGCTGGTGCCTGGTGCTCTCGAGCTGGCGTGGCAGCGCCGCGTCTTTGTGGGTGGAGATGACTTTAAGTCAGGCCAGACCAAAGTCAAGTCTGTGCTCGTTGATTTCCTTATCGGCTCCGGCCTCAAGGTGCGTGGACATGAGGGGCTGCTCAGCTCAGAATGGGGGTCCTGGGCCACGAGGGCTGGGCTTGTGCATTGCAGAGTCTGCAGCTGCTACAGGTCCTCTTGTCTCCCTAGACCATGTCCATCGTGAGCTATAACCATTTGGGCAACAACGACGGGCAGAACCTGTCGGCGCCGCCACAATTCCGGTCTAAGGAGGTGTCCAAGAGCAGTGTGGTGGACGACATGGTGCAGAGCAACCCAGTGCTCTACGCGCCCGGCGAGGAGCCGGACCACTGCGTGCGTGGGGCGCAGGCGCAGCAGAAGGGGTGGGAGGCGTCCCCAACACAGAAAGGCAGGGACCTGTGTGACTTCATGCTGTCTCCCAGGTGGTCATCAAGTACGTGCCATACGTGGGTGACAGCAAGCGCGCACTGGATGAGTACACATCGGAGCTGATGCTAGGCGGTACCAACACACTGGTGCTGCACAACACGTGCGAGGTGCGGGGCAAGAAGGGACAGGAGTGGGGCTGCCCATCAGCCTGGCCCGGCTCCTGACTCGTTGGCCCTGCAGGACTCACTCCTGGCCGCGCCCATCATGCTGGACCTGGCTCTGCTGACCGAACTATGCCAGCGGGTGACCTTCTGCACCGACATCGACCCAGAGCCGCAGAGCTTCCACCCGGTGCTGTCACTACTGGGCTTCCTCTTCAAGGCGCCGCTTGCGCCGCCGGGCAGCCCTGTGGTCAACGCGCTCTTCCGCCAGCGCAGCTGCATTGAGAACATCCTCAGGTGTGCCCCGGCCTTGGGGATCCCCATCCATGGCCCAGATGTCCACTGGCAGGGCTGCGCAGGGCACCAGTCTTGGGGTCTGGCCCTGCTGAGCCCTGACCCTCCCCCAGGGCCTGCGTGGGGCTCCCGCCACAGAACCACATGCTTCTGGAGCACAAGATGGAGCGCCCTGGCCTCAAGCGAGTTGGGCTTGTGGCCACTGCCTGCCCTGTTCCTTGCAAGAAAGGATCAGCACCAACCGCCCCCAACGGCTGTACTGGTGACGCCAATGGGCACTCGCAGGCTGAGGCACCCCAGATGCCCACCACCTAAGGCCAAGGCCATACAACTTCCCCATATCTCCTGCCCCCTTTGCTCCTCAGGACCCGACCCTTCCAGGCCTCCCAAAGACAATAAAGTCAGTGCCACTATCAGCCATGCCTGTGGATTCTTAGCGCCTGCGACCTAACCCTACCCCGGCAACTCTAGCCCCATCTGTTTTTCACCAGGTAGACACCTACCTACCCTAAAAACTCGTCCCAACCCTCAACAGTTTCCAGAACCCCGTGGGGCCTCTGCCTAACCTCAACCTTTGAAGGTGCGGCTGAGACCCCAAGGTGCAGGTTGTCGCTGCAAGCCAAAGTGAAGAAGTACAAGACCAGATACCAAAAACCAAAATCAAGTTACGTTTATTGATGGGGCCCACCCCTGCTGTCCAAAGGAAAGGAGGTCCCCAAGGAGCCCCCCTAGACAAAACAGAAATGACCGGAAGGGCCCATACAGGAAAGAACATCTCTGAGGTCCTTGGGTTTTTTATAAAATGAATGAGTCCTTCTCGCGGGGCCTCCCAGCCATCCAAGCTTTGACCAGGAGTCCAGTTGCCCGAGGTGCGACCTCAGACCCTCACCCTGTGGACTACCCGAGCCCCTGGACCTTGGCCCTGGGCAGGGGCGCTGGGCAGAAGCCAGGGCGGCAGTGGGCAAGGGGCTGCGGCCCCATCACACGCTCATGGTCATCCCGGGGGAGTACTGCGGAAAGACGAGGGGGTGGCGCGCGGGGGCCGGCTCAGTTCCGGCCTAGGCTGGGACCCGCCCCCCCGGGGTGGAATGGGGAACATGGCGGTGTGGATATGGAAAGGAAAGGGGTCGGGTGGCATTGGGTGGCAATGCAATGCGTGG